GGGCTTTCCTTTCTTTGAGAATTTGTGAGATTTTCCTAGTTCTTTGTATGTCGAGTGATTTTGGATTACATCCTGGATATTGTGAATTTCATGTTAGGTTCTGTGCACTGTATTTAAATCCCCTGCACAATGCCGGTGTTTGTTTAAGCAGGTCTTCATCCTGATTAGGTTCAAACTACAAGTTCTGTGTGCTGTGTGCACACAGAGTTTCCATTGTTAGATCAGTTTTCAAGACTTTTGCTGTGCTACTTTGTTTTGTCCTGCAGCTCAGGTGTGAACCTGAGTCTTGTGGGAGTTCATTTATAGAATCACGTGATCCTTACATTCTCCTGCCCATAGCGGCCATTTTTATTACTTCCTTTGGCCAGAGAGACTGGGTTTTGATCAGAGTTAGTTACTGTTTGCTCCTCTGCCTCACTGTGTAACTCCATGTCTGGGCCCACCCTTGGGCAGAGCTGCTAGGGAAGAGTGAACAAAAATGGGGGGAGCTTTTGACTCTCTTCTAAAATCTGTCTACTTTTCTTTTTACTGTCCTCAGGGAGTTGCTTTTTAAAGTCTTTGCCCAGTTTTTAGTTTTAAGTGGGACAGAGGGCCTGTAGTGGGTAGATACTATTTTAGCCAAACTAGAACTCTGGTTTTTGACATTTAGAAATCTTAGATATGTGGTATATTTTTTTTTATAAATTATTTTAATACATACAACCAATATATATAAAAGTAGGAACAAAATACCTTGAACCAAGATGTTATCACCATGGTTTGTCTATGTAGCACAGAACTGAAAAGAAGGTGGGATTGCAAAGTTTGGTCCATTTGCTTCATCTATGCGTTAACTACCTTTGTCTGGGGTTCCCTAGGAACTGAGAAGAACCTATTTGTGAATGGCATTTGAAGGCCCTGTGGTTAAAAGAAATGTATGTGGGACTATTTCAATCTTATCCTTAAGCCAGCATTTGGACTTTTGTGTTAGTAAATAAATCTGGAGGGTACATCTTCTTCATACCTCAAAGTGGCTTAGTTTTTATTAGGTCCATTCCTTACCAATATCCAGCTGAGACCAGTGACAATTAAGGAACAGGGGAAGAAAGAGACAGAAGGGCATTAGTTTTTAAGTGTAGGGCACAGGTTGGGGTTGCAGTGCATTCCCTTGTCACTAATGGATGTGAGATGAAGGGGAAGCAGAGAGGGAGGTTAGAAGGGTCAGGATACAAATTTTGTCTAACATTGCTTGTAATAGGTGAACGCTTTTGCAGAAGAGGTTCACAGAGGGTGGGGAATTATTTCCTGAATTCTAGGAAGGATGGTGAACAGCTAATACTCGTAAATGTTTTGCAAGGAGCTGCTGATGATTACAATATACTTTGGACCATAGGAGTTGTTCTACTTTGCCAGACTGTGACTCTCTCAAAATAGCTGTAAAATATTTAAAGTGAGGTATATAAGGGGGGGAGGGGGGTTGGAGGATGGGTTGGCCTGGTGGTGGGTATTGAGGAGGGCATGTTCTGCATGGAGCACTGGGTGTTATGCACAAACAATGAACACTACATCTAAAACTAATGATGTAATGTATGGGGATTAACATAAGAATAAAAAAAAAAGGAAAAAAAAAGTGAGGTATATAATTACTGTATCTACAGAAAAGTGACAATAGTCTGTGCTTTTGTTATTATGGTTTAGTATTGATGATGCTAATTTCATAACCCGAATTGAGGAATATTTGATCTTTCTCTGTGGAATGGTTTTAGTAAAAGGAATTATTTGTTCCTTCAAACACACCCCTAAAATTATTTTTTCTTGGGATCTTTTTACTGTTAAATTTTTACATTTCCATTTATTTCTTGGTCTATTAAGTGTATTATACCTTTTTAAAAGATCATTGTGGAAATTTATAGTAAGGTAGAAATACATCTACTTTCTCTTGATTCTCTGTTGCATAGAATTATGCATAACATTTTCTTAAGCAAAAATTCTGAAGAAAATATGAGCAAATTGGACCTAGTTATGTAGTAAAAGAGTAGCATGCCTATCTGTTTATTATGTAAATTCCAGGATAATTTGTATTGGGAAATCTATCACTATAATTTAGTATGCTACTTAAGAAAGAAATACAGGGTCATCTTATTAAATACTCAAAAAAAAAAAAAAAGCCTCTGAACAGATTTAGCATCCATTTCTAAATGAAAATTTTAAGTCAAATAAGAATAATAGGAAACTGCCTAAATGTGGTAAAAGCTATTTACCAAAACAAAACAGCAAATATAACTATTCATAACCTATTTCATTGGTTATGAAATACCAAAGCCATCAGCATGACAGTCAAGGGCAATATAAAAGTTCCTCCTGTCCCGGCTATTATATAGCTTCGCTTTATTGGTTTGGGCACGTAATGTAACCTTAAATTCTTTATTCCCAGAGGATGTAGATCTAGAAAACCAGAAAGACTCATCTGAGAGACTTAGCACCAATAAGAAAATGTGGTAAAGTGGCTGGGTACCAAGAAGATCGATAAATCAATTACTTTTCTTTATTTTGCAATAAATAGTAAAGAAGGGAAGTAGAACAGAACAGAATGTTTTTCTCATGTTATATATATATGAAATAATTGCCTTACTATGGTTTTAAAAATAAGAGCTTACTGCTTTTGTAAAGCTCAACAAAAAACAGGTATGATCTGTCAGTTTAAAGAGCATTATGAAGATTAAGTGAGATGAAACACATTAAAATTTTCTGGAAAATTATTGGGGCACCTGGGTGGCTCAGTCAGTTGAGCGTCTGACTCTTGATTTTGGCTCAGGTCATGATCTCAGGGTCCTGGGATCGAGCCCCGCGTCAGGCTCCCTGCTCAGCGGGCTGTCTGCTTGTCCCTCTTTCTCTATTCCTCCTCCCACTCTCTTTCCTTCTCTCTCTCAAATAAATAAAATCTTAAAAAAAATTTTTTTGGAAAATTATCAAGCTTCCCTACACAGCGTATTGAGTGAGAAATAGTGGAAGAAGAGAATAGCAGTCATAGTTTCTAAAGAGAACTGGCAGGAAGAAGGAGCCTGCTTCAGAACTGGAGCCAGAATGCCCCCCTGCCCGACACACACTTAAATATGGCTGCTTGACCACATGTGTTTTCTCTTCTTCTTCCATAAAGTCTGCAGTGGTCACACCAGAAGCATGGCAGATCTTAACTCACAGGGAGAAAGATAACAGTGGAGAAGACAGTGAGCAAAAGCTTTTAAGAATTTTCTAGAACCAGAGAGTGAACAGAATGGTAACTGAGTTCAGAGAAAGGTGCAACCTAGTGCCTACAGAGGGCGGATAAAGATGGAGGACAAGTCAGCTGGCCCCAGGAATGTCTTGACAGGCTTCAGAGTGTTTGGTGGCTGCCTAAGACAGAGGTCAGTTCTGCAGCTGAAATGGAAGTTCTTTAAAAATCTGTATCCAGATCTTTTGGAATGTCTTCTCCTGCATCCCCAGCAGACAGGTGACTTCTTCAGTCCTGTTTTTCCTAGAACCAGAGAGGCTGCTGACCAGAACGGTGAAGCTTGGGGCTGAAGATAAAGGGCATATGTGTTAGCATATGTTTGGAAGTGTAGGCCCCTTCACGTCTTCCTTTCTTTTCCGTTCCTCCCCCAAAGCCAGCACCCTCCCGTACACTTCTGTCTGGTAAAACCTTTGCATACTGATGTTTGGAGGTCTCTTACTGAAATGTGACTGGGCACATCTGACCATTGTATGCAGAAGCCCATCTGTCAACAGACCTGGCACCCATGCCCATTTTTTTTAGTGCCTTACTCTTAAATATGAAGAAGCAGCCAGGGATCACCAGATATCTGAGGAAAGCCTCAAAAGTGAGAGAGACCCAAAACAAACAATCAGCCAACAAACAAAAAAGAAATCAAATGAGAGACAGAAGAAAATGAAAGCGCAAAAGTACTCCCTTCTCACCCCCTTCCCCCAGTAAAAAAAAATCAGGAGAGTAAAAGACGTTGTGTCCATTAAAAGAAAAGACAGGGCAGTAGGAATAAAGAGTTGAGAACAAGAAAGAGCTTTTGGAAGTTTAAAAATATGATAGTTGGGGGAAAAAAATCCACGGACAGATTGGAATATAAAATTGAAGAGTATTAGGGCAGGGGACTATCATTTTAAAAATCTGAACGTATCTAAATTGTTTAATGTATGAATATTTAGTACTCGTTTTTAACTATATGCATCTGCCATGTTGTTAAGCATAAGGATGATACTCATTATGGATTATTTTTGTTGGGGAAGAAGACAGGGTTGGTTTCACATCGGCTGTTCATGATTGGATTTTGGAGCGTTGCGTTTGTGTTTGGTATTCTGGACATTAGTACAGTATACATTGGTTACAACCTTTCGCAAAATTGGCAGTGTTTTTCAGGGGTAGAACACAGGCTGTGGGGTTTGCTGGCCCTGCTCAAATCCAGCCCTGCCACCAGATGTGTGGTATTGCTCGGATCACTTCATCTCTCTGATTCTCGTTTTCCTCTTCTGTAGTAAGGGGATGGAAATACCTGTGTGTCTCACCTGTATCGTAGGGCTGTGACGAGGAAGGGGTAAGAGCTATAAAGTACCTATAACAGTGTGCAGCGTGTACTATGTGCTCATTAAAAGAAGCCGCTGTTAAAACCACCAAGCAGATGGGCTGGTGTATGTAGATGGCGAAGAAAAGCATATATTTAAAGAGTAACAAACAGAACAGTCGTGATGTAACAGGCTGTCCTGAGCTAATAGTGTCACTCACCAGACTGAAAGCCTCTTGTTTCCGGAGAGTCTTGCATCAGCATTCCGCAGTGCCTGTCATTGTACCTGGTGCTGGGACACTGCAGACAATGAATGAATGAACCCCTTGGTTGTAACTTTGATTTGTAGTGCTGTTCCCGAGTGCTGATACTGCTCTCAGTTTCTGATCACTAAAGACAGTGTGTTAGTGTGTTTATATGTATATAGGAAATGAAGTTTTCAGAAACTTAAATGTTGTATTTCAATTACAGGCGTCGATTAGCCAGGTAAAAGTGACAGAACCATGGCTCAGTTTCTAACACCTTTTGGAGGTAAGTTTTCAAAGATTTTCCTTTTTTAATGTATTCGAGACCTTTTTCTTTTTTCTTTTCTTTAAAGTAGGCTCCATGCCCAGTGACCCTGAGACCAAGAGTCACATGCTCTACCGACTGAGCCAGCCAGGTGCCCTGAGATCCTTTTTTTTTTTTTTTAAAGATTTTATTTATTTATTTGAGAGAGAGCAGAGCAGGAGGGAGGGGCAGAGAGAGAGAAGCAGACTCCCTGCTGAACAAGGAGCCTGACTCAGGGCTCCATCCCAGGACCCCCTGGATCATGACCTGAGCCCAAGGCAGACGCTTAACTGACTGAGCCAGCCAGGCGCCCCTCTGAACCCTATTTTTAATATTGTTTCATCTGGATTCCTTGGAAGCAACTCCCAGGCATCATTTCATTTCACCCACAAATATTTTAGCGTGTGTTTCTGAAAGATGTGAACACTCTTAAAGACATAACTATGATACCATTATCATACCTATAAAATTCACAGTAATTCCTTAATATCCTCAACTATCAAGTCAGTGTTAGAATTTCCCTGACAGTCTTCAGACCTTTTTTTGCTATGGTTTGTCGGTTCAAATCAGGGTCCAGACATTGCTCTCAGTTCACGTGTCTCCTGTGCCTTTCACTGTTTTCTCTTCACATTGTATTTGTTAAAGTGACTGAGTCATTTATTCTGTACTTTTCCCAAAGCCTGAATTGGAAGCAGGACATTTGTTTTACTTTATCTGCTTAAAACATATGAATCTGCATAAAATGGTTTTTTTCAGGTAATTTTTCCTAATATGATGATGAAAGTGTTAAATACTAGTTTTGCTTACTGGCCAGGTTTTTGTTTTGTTTTGTTTTATTTAAAGAGAGGACGCCATTATTATGGCTGCCTTTTGGCAACTGTCTGATCCAGTCATGAGGAGAGTGAGGCACAAATCACTACCCCTCTGATCACATCTGTCAAAGTCCCTGTGGAATTCCAGCACAGAGCCCTGCAAACTTTTCACCACCATTAGCATTATTGTTTTATTTTTGTCCCTCTTCTTAGTTACTGAGCAGGTTTGTGTTCTGTTGTGTTTTTGCTGTTGCTTTAGTTTATAATTCTGGGGACGGATTTCTTTCTTTTTTTTTTTTTTTAAAGATTTTATTTATTTATTTGACAGAGAGAGACACAGCGAGAGAGGGAACACAAGCAGGGGGAATGGGAGAGGGAGAAGCAGGCTTCCCGCAGAGCAGGGAGCCCAATGCGGGGCTCGATCCCAGGACCCTGGGATCATGACCTGAGCCGAAGACAGACGCTTAATGACTGAGCCACCCAGGTGCCCCATCTGGGGACGGATTTCAACAGGGCAGTAGAAGTTGCAGGATTATGAGGCCTCTGAGAAGGGATCATATCTTTCTTCGGTCACTATGGTGTCTCTGATGTCTGACACAGTGACTGGCATGTAGGAGGCAGCCAGGAACTCTGTTTCCAGCGACTGACTGAATCTCACTCTTCCTGTCACTGTCCGACTGGACAACATGGAGAGGGGAGGCGCGACATTCAGACATTTTGCTTTTGTGCCGGTCACATTCGTATTTTGTATGAAACATACATATTGCCTGTTCCCACCTTTTTGTAGAGTATCTGAACTTTTGAAGGTCTTTCATCTATGTAATCTAAAATTATTTTGGATGACACTGAGGAGACCTAGGATGAAAGCGAGGAAGGTCTCAGAAGTGAAGGGGCATCTGGTCAGTCTTAGAGCTGAAACTGAAGGAGAACCCAAATCCCATTCTCTTCAGTTTGCCTTTATCTTTTTCCAGGATACCCATTTTTAAACACATCTTTATTGAGGTATAGTTTACATACCATAAAATGCACCAGTTTTAACTGTACAATTCAGTGACTTTTAGTAACTTTACAGAGTTGAGTAATCACCACTACAATCCAGTATTTCAATATTTTTGTCACTCCAAAAAGATTTTCATGGAATCACTTGCGATACGAATTGTGAAACTCTGCTTCATTCCTGACTTTCTCCTGTGACATTTAAAGATTTATTTATTTTTATTTATTTGACAGAGAGACACAGTGAGAGAGGGAACACAAGCAGGCAGAGTGGAAGAGGGAGAAGCAGACTTCCCGCTGAGCAGGGAGCCGGATGTGGGCCTCGATCCCAGGACCCTGGGATCATGACCTGAGCGGAAGGCAGACGCTTAACGACTGAGCCACCCAGGCGCCCTCTCCTGTGACATTTAAAACACCTGAGGGGCGCCTGGGTGGCTCAGTTGGTTAAGCGACTGCCTTCGGCTCAGGTCATGATCCTGGAGTCCCGGGATGGAGTCCCACATCAGGCTCCCTACTCAGCAGGGAGTCTGCTTCTCCCTCTGACCCTCCTCCCTCTCATGCTCTCTGTCTCTCTCGCAAATAAAAATAAATAAATAAATAAAACACCTGAGAATGTAGTTTTAAATTGGATTGTTGCTTGAGTTTATGTAAATAAATGGCTGTTAACTTATATCTCTATATAGTCCTGCTAGCTACAAGATAACGGGATAAGTTTTTAAAAAAAGAATTTGTGCCAGTATCTTTCTTATTTTGGCCTGTTTTACTTTTAATTTTCTAACTTATATGCATAACTTCCAAGGACAAACAGATGTTGATTAATCAAATAATTGATAACCTAATGAAAGAATCTGGAAGTACTAGGGAGATAGTGCATGTGAGCACTTTATTATTCTTTTTGCATTGAATAATTTTTCTTTTCTTTGGTTTATAGGCAGCCTGGATATCTGGGCCATAACTGTAGAAGAAAGAGCGAAGCATGATCAACAGTTCCATAGTTTAAAGCCAATATCTGGATTTATTACTGGTAATTGGAATCAGTATTTTTATATTTTTACTTATCAGTGGTGCATATATCTCTGGAAAGTCCATTTTGCAAAGCTAAATGCAAAGCTAAGGTGGGCACATATGACCCAGGTGGACATCTGGGCCTGTATTTTTTCAGTTGCTTTACCTGTAGCGCATTCAAACCTGTTTGCATCCCTTTATGGATGTCAAGCCACTTGTTGTGGGCATAACACTTACAGGAATTGGTAAAGGTCAGTGGACCATATTCTTTTTTTTTTTTTAAAGATTTTATTTATTTATTGAGAGAGAGAATGGGAGACAGAGAGCATGAGAGGGAGGAGGATCAGAGGGAGAAGCAGACTCCCTGCCGAGCAGGGAGCCCGATGCGGGACTCGATCCCGGGACTCCAGGATCATGACCTGAGCCGAAGGCAGTCGCTTAACCAACTGAGCCACCCAGGCGCCCCTGGACCATATTCTTTAAGTAGTAAAGCAATGGACTATGGTCCTTGAGCTAAAATGCTTGTTTAATTCTGATCTTGAACTGGTTTGGGAAGTATAAATAAATGAACAGATTCTGAATACTTAAAACAACAGAGTTCTCTTATTGTTCTTTTTGTAGTTTGTGTTTTCTTTTTTAAGATTTATTTATTTATTTATTCATTTGAGAGAGAGAGAGAGAGCATGCCCATGAGGGAGGGATGGGGGAGAGGAGGAGGGAGTGGGACAAGAAGACTCTGTGCTGAGCACGGAGCCTGACGTGAGGGCTGATCCCAGGACCCCGAGATCGTGACTCCAGCTGAAAGCAAGAGTCAGTTGCTGAACTGACTGAGGCCCCCAGGTGCCCCTGCCTTTCCTATTATCTTTTCTGTTGGGTTATCCTTCAGGAGATAGCTTTAGGAAAAATGGGATCTAGATTTCCTGGGGACTTGTTTGTGTGTGTGTGTGTATCACAGTTCTCTTTAAATTATTAATTCTTAATTTTTTTTTTAAAGATTTTTTTTATTTATTTTGACAGAGAGAGAGAGCACAAGCAGGGGGAGTGGGAGAGGGAGAAGCAGGCTCCCTGCTGAGCAGGGAACCTGACATGGAACTGGATCCCAGGACCCTGGGATCATGACCTGAGCCGAGGGCAGATGCTTAACTAACTGAGCCACCCAGGCACCCAATTCTTAATTGTTGCTGTGAATCTTGTAAATATTGTTACTTTTACCCCATAAATATAACAGAAGCACTGACAATTTAAAGTGTAGATATTAAGAGTCGCAGAGAACTTAAAAAAGTAGAAGTGTGGGTCATCAGTTTCTTGAGGATTCCTATAGATGTGCATTGTCATATGTATAGCTGTTCCCATGTTACTTAAGAGCAGGTTAATTAAAGTGGACAATCTACCCCTGCACTTGATAGGCCCTTTTTTTTGAATTTTTAAAGTGTTCTAAAGTCAGTGAATTCATCAGTGAATCTGATGGATTCATTTTACTGTTGCTTATAGACTTACCATTTGGCTCTTATCGTATATTTAAGTCTGTATTTGCAGAATTACTAGCCTCTTATTTTTGCAATTTTGCTGTAAGAATGTATCTGTCAGCTGTTTCTTTTCTGAAACTTTTTCTATTTAATTTACAGGTGATCAAGCTAGAAACTTTTTTTTTCAATCTGGGTTACCTCAACCTGTTTTAGCACAGATATGGTAAGTTGGAACTTCACATAAGCAGAAGGAGGTAAAATAAAATATTCCAGTAATATGATTTCTTATGATCTTGAAGGCGAACATAAATCTCTAGTCTGAAATACTCTACTACTTCTTACCAGAGAATACTTGTGAAAAGTATCTTTCGATGTGGAACATTAAAGAAAAAAAGAAAAAGTGGTGACATTTGTAGGGTAACATTGTCAAAAACCTGAATTTCCAGTGGAGAAATCTACATTTTGATATTTTCTCATTAGTTTATTTTAGCTTCATCTACATCACCCATACTCATCTGAATGTCCCACATTTCTTGCTCTATAATGCAGTGGTTCTGTATCTTTGACCACAAGGTAAGGAAAATATTTGAGGGCTAGTAGTGAAACAGCCAGCGGAATAGTGAAATTAACTTGTATTTATTATAGTGTTGTACAAGGCAAATGCGTAATAAATAATGTTGAATTCCTTGATTAACTTGATTCCTTGATCACAAATAAGCATTCAGTCTTTTGAACCTACAGGAGAGAAAGGGACAGTAAAAAAGAGTGGCAAATAGTTTGGATTTTAGGTTTATGACTTCGGTCATGCCACGCTGAGGTCTCTTGCCAAGAAGTCACATTTTCCTCGCACCGTGCGTTTCTTGCAATTAATACTTCATTTCCAGGGTTTATTAGCGTTGTACGGGCGGCTCGCTGTGTAGTAGAAAGAGGACAGGATTTGTGGTCACACACCTGTGTTTGAATCCCAGCTGCACTACATTCGGTCTTTATGATTTGAACATGTATTCATCCTCTCTAACCTCTGTTTTTTAATCTAGAAAATGGGCAGATGTATTTTCCTGACAAGTTTGTTGGAAAAATTGGCCGTATAGAAAGGACTGTGTAAAAAACTGTATATAAATGACTTAGTGTGGGGCCCAGCGTGTAATAGGCCAATAGGCCCTCAAAACAAAACCCAAAACGGTGCCTGCTGTCATCATCAGGGACTGGGTAGTCCCCATAACTAAATTGTGCAGCTAATTGCTTGTCCCCCGAAATGAACGACCTTTCTTAACAATTTAATGGAAATTAATAAAGATTGACATAGTCCCTGTGGCCTTCAAGCAGAGTCTACAGAACGTAGTCCAAGCTTGATTACCAATGTCAGTATGAAAATCATTTACTGTGTTCTGAATAGCAAAACTCTCATGGGAAATATATGTATACATTTGTATATGGATAAATTTGAATTGAAACTAAATGATACCAGATTCCTGCGCTTTTTTTGGTGTCTGCTTTATGTTCTTTTTCCTGGTTGTCAGCATATTGGCTGCCAGACCGTCTCTTCCGATTGGTGAGCCTCCTCCTATGATGCCCTTCTAGCTCTTACTTCTGATCCACTTTGAGCTGGGAAAGTCACATAACCAAGGTTTTTGGAATGGCTTTTAAAATAAAGTAAAAGGTAGGGGCGCCTGGGTGGCTCAGTCATTAAGCGTCTGCCTTCGGCTCAGGTCATGATCCCAGGGTCCTGGGATCGAGCCCCGCATCGGGCTC